ATCTCTGTATTATACTACACGATCTTCCGTAATGTTGCAGGAAATCGCTATGATAAGAAAAAAATATTCCATAAGGATTGATATGTGAAAAGAGTAGGAAAGGGAATTAATTGCTCTACAAATATGCAATTTTGTGTACTGTAATGCAATAGTATGCAGTTGAATAAATTACTATTACTTAATTATTAATTTCATCTAATGAAATAATCATGATTAGGTTGTAATATCAGAAAGTTATTTATATGCAGTGGAAATCTATTTATATCCATGCATACCGTGTGTGTGTGTGTGTGTGTGTGTGTGTGTGTGTGTGTGTGTGTGTGTGTGTGTGTGTGTGTGTGTGTGTGTGTGTGTGTGCAACTGGGTGTACATATATATGTGTGTGTGTGTGTGTGTGTGTGTGTGTGTGTGTGTGTGTGTGTGTGTGTGTGTGTGTGTGTGTGTGTGTGTGTGTGTGTGTGTGTCTGTGTCTTATGTGTACAACTGGGTGCACATATGTGTGTGTGTGTGTGTGTGTGTATGTGTGTGTGTGTGTGTGTGTCTGTGTCTTGTGTGTACAACTGGGTGCACATGTATGTGTGTGTGTGTGTGTGTGTGTGTGTGTGTGTGTGTGTGTCTGAGTCTTGTGTGTACAACTGGGTGCACATGTATGTGTGTGTGTGTGTGTGTGTCTTGTGTGTGCAACTGGGTGTACATATATGTGTGTGTGTGTGTGTGTGTGTGTGTGTGTGTGTGTGTGTGTGTGTGTGTGTGTGTGTGTGTGTGTGTGCGTGCGCGTGCGCGTGCGTGTGCGTGTGCGTGTGCCTGTGCCTGTGCATGTGCGCGTGCGTGTGCGTGTATGTGTATGTGACAGACAGAGAAGAGAGACAGACAAACAGAGCCAGACAGACAAACAGAGACAAGCAGACATGCTGGTAGACAAATAGACAGACAGACAAACATACAGGCAGAGACAAACCGTGATAAACAAACAAATATAAACAAACAGACAGAAACAGAGAAACAGGCAGGGATAGTTGGAGAAGAGTTAATGGTTAATAGTTAAAACAAATAAATATACTAGACATGAAGGTCATACAGCACTTTAGGGTTGGAAAGATAATCAGTCATTCTAAAATGCCATGTAATTTTATATAGCGTAGTATATGTTGTTGAAGTAATTACATTTTCATCAGAATAGTTATGATGAGACTGTAATATCTGAAAGTTATATATTTGTAGTGAGAATTGTTTATATTCGTGTATAGCGTGTTTACATCTATTGTATTGTATTGGTATTCGTAGTAGGTAAAGAGTACTGTTAATTTGTGTGTAGTTTTTTTCAGTCGTTATGGGAGCATTTTTCTCATTTTCCGCTTTATTATCATAGTGATATCATTATCATCACTGTCATTATGATTACAAACACAATCATCACTGAAAGACAAACAGGCAGAGAGAGAGAGAGAGAGAGAGAGAGAGACAGACAGACAGACACACACACACACACACACACACACACACACACACACACACACACACACACACACACACACACACACACACACACACACGCACACACACACACACGTAGCCTGACAGAAAGGCAGATATACAGATAGACAGATATATAGACAGACAAACAAACATACGGCCAAAAACAGACCGAGTTTGACGTAAATGATTATTTCCACAAAATAAACAATTGAATATAATAAAAGAAAAAAAAGAAGCAAACCTGTCATTGCCATAAATCTCCATGCTCGGCCAAAACAACTCACAAAACAATCAGTTTATAACAATCCAAACAGCCATTTCAACAACCAATAACTCTTAAACACAACTGACAGGTGATCGAACTTTGAATATGGAGATGTAACTATTATCATAAGCATGGGTATGCAAACTGTTTACGGTCCCTTATTTGGAGGAAGATACGATCATTTACGTGTTGCTAATTAGTGGTATTAATTAAGAGGACTGTCGGGAAACCTCATTACCTTGTGAGGTGTTGCGTATAATTATTAAGAATTTGTTTTTAGTCGGGACTCTGATCTGTACCGATGGTCGATATCAAAGAATTCTAAGTGTTTACAGATTATTTTTTTTGCAGAGCCTCTGTTCTTTACGTGAGGTCGTATGCTGTTTCAGTGAAATGTGCATTGCCTCTTTTTCCTCTCTTTTCTTCACTCCTCTCACTTTTCTATTTTATTCTCATCTCTTCCATTCTCTTTTCTCCTCTCTCTCTTCTTTCTTCTCTTCATGCCCTCTCATTTCCTAACTCTCTCTCTCTCTCTCTCTCTCTCTCTCTCTCTCTCTCTCTCTCTCTCTCTCTCTCTCTCTCTCTTCTCTCTCTCTCTCTCTCTCTCTCTCTCTCTTCGTCCTCCTTCTTCTCCTTCTCACTCCCCTTCCTCTTGCTCCCTTGCCTTCCCCTCCTTCCCCTCTCCCTCACCCTCCTTCTCCTTCTTACTACCTTCTAAATCCCCCTAAATTGTATAATGTCCATAAACTGAACACCTAAATACCGATTTCACATTTCGAAGCCATGAATTTGTGTATTGTGCGGGTATCATAGGATTTAGTATTGATTCAGGGGTATAACATGGAGAGAGAATGGTTACCTGTATTGTTCTGGATTAGTTCCATTGTATTGTTTCTATTGTTTCGTTTCAGGTAGTTTATATATATATATATATATATATATATATATATATATATATATATATATATATATATATATATATATATCATTATCTTTTTTGTCTGTTGTTAATGCTATTATATTAAAAATGACGATGATGATGATGACGATGTCGACGATAATGACGATGATGATGATGAGGAGGAGGAGGAGGAGGAGGAGGAGGATTGCTATGATAACAAATACAGTAAGAACATCAGTTTACAATAACAATAGCAGAAATAACAATAATAAAAAATATGATTTTTTTTGTAGTCATTTAGTAAATTCCTAATAAATCAAATATACAAATGAATACCCAAGAAACCGCTTATGGTAGTTGTATAATTAAAATTCTTAAATTTCAAATGTTTCAATAGAATTACGAACGAGAATTGATATCACTTACATTGACAATCCAAGAGTCAACCATCAGTGCTTGTGTTTCTTCAATCTGCAAAATAAAAAAACAAATCGATCTGAAAATCGTTGATTTTTCTATTTCATAAATATGATTACAATTCTTAATAAGAAGTCTACGTAACTAAATAAATTATATGTATGTCTTTTACAATACTGATTAAAATTTGCAATAGTTTACCATGTTAAGACTCCGTTTTCTCTAAATTGAATCCCGTTTTTTAAATGACTCAATTGCAGCATAAACTATAGTAAATTTACAGAGGGAAATTATTTTTTTTCGGTCTCTATCAAGAGCAATGTCTTAATAGAATAAATAAGTAAAATTAAATGAAAAATATCATAACATACTGTGACCATACACCGAAAATCCATACACTAACATCTGTGGTTACGAAAAAGGGTTATCATAGAACTAAATACATATATATTTCACACATTTTAGTTAGGCAGAAGCAAATTCATAAAAAAATAATAATAAAATAGAGGTAAAAAAAGGAGAAAAATGGCATATTCTAACAATACATTACTGCCTAGATCTATTATTTTGTTCGTGTAATTAAAGCCCATTAAGACTAATTAACCCATTCGCCGCACGTGACAAGAATAGATGCCATGCCCACTTTGAGACACGTTTATTTATTGTATTTACACATAGATGGCTCCACAAGTTCTTAATCACCAAACAACCAGTTATCAAGAACTACCTATTTCACCTGTTTACCCTTTTCTTTCACTTTAGGAAAGGGTTTTTTGTATCATTTCATTGGCTAAAATATTCTAATGGCTATTTAATAATCATAACATCAGTAACAATAATAACAGTATCGATAGCAATGCTATTAATTTTCCCGCCAATTCAATGAATGGGAAAATCAGGGTCGGTAACTAGAGCCTACTGATAGACTCCTTGCCGGCTGAGCACATGTGGAGCTATCTGTATGTAACAAAATTCACCAAAAATTACAGAGGACAGAACATAAATCCGGGGCGAATGGGTTAAAGAAATAAAGACTTTAGTTGGCTTATATATAAGAGATCCAATTTTTGGTTTACAAGTATTTATTCGAGATTTTAGGTTCGAAATGTTTAATTTATAAGATTTACTTTCAAAAGCTTTGCTAAGTAGTAACATCAGTGTAATATTTCATGGTAGTTAACAGTTTTAAATAATTTTCGTTGAGATTTTATTTATATTATCACTCGTTCAGCTGTTTCATGATTTGAATAAAGTTTTTTTTTTCTCTTCCTCAGTAGGGAAAGATACGAAAGCTGAAACTTTTCTTTCCATGAGGTTAATATTATTTACTTATTTATTTATTTTTAAGTATAAAAACCAAAAACCATCTCAAACCGTCATTTCTAAATCTCTATCCCGGTATACCTTTAGAAAAAAAGAAAAAAAATAATAAATTAACGAAACAATCACACTTTACAATTACAATACACAACAGCAAGAAAACCCCCATTCTAACTCACCATATCGAAGTGTTTGATGTTCATTCTGAATTTGACGATAGTCTGCGAGCTCGGAACCATATGCATGTTGTAGTCGCTAAACAGATCCTGGTGAAGTTTATGTACCTGTTTTAGGTCATAGGCTTGAGCTGGGAAAGAGGAAGAAAGAAAAGATAATAATTATAATACTGATGGTGGTGATGTGATGATGATTATAATAATGATGATAATAATAATCGTAATAAAATGATAATGTTAATACCAATTGATATAATGATAATGGTAATTGGTATGATTATTATAATGATATAATAACCATCATAATTATTATTTTCATTATTATTATCATTCTTTAAGGATAATAATAATAATTAATACTATTATTATTATTTAAAATAATAATTATTATTATGATAATAATAACAATAATAAATAATAATAAACCAAAAATACACAATGAAAA